TTGACCAGTGTGAAGTGACCATCTTTGTCTTTTTTAACTTTAATTGCCTTAAATGCAATGAAAATATGATTGTGACCCTTCCTTTTTTCTGATTTCCATTTGCCTGAAATATTGTTTTCCAACCCTTCACCCTGAGTCCTGTTTTGTCCTTTGAGGTTAGGTGTGTTTCATGGAGATAGCATATACATGGCTTGTGCTTTTTTATCCAATAGGCCAGGAGGATACTCAAGTGGGGAACTCAAACCATTTACATTAATTGAGAGAACTGATAATTGTGGTGGCATTCTAGTCATCTTATTTTGTGAAAGTCCATTGATTAGTTTTATCCTTATCACCATTGTGGAAGCTAGGATTTGTTCTTTAGTTTCTGGGTGTTTATTTTGCTGGTGGTCCATTGTGGTGGTCAGTGTGGAGAACAGGTTTAAGACTTGCTGTAGAGCCTATCTTGTGGTGAATTTCCTCAGTGCTTGCATATTAGTAAAAAATTTGATTTCTCCATAAATTTTGAAGCTTAGTTCAGCAGAATATAGAATTCTGGGTTGAACATTTTTTTGTTTAAGAAAGTTAAATATATATGACCATTCTCTTCTGACTTGGAAAGTTTCAGCTGAAAAGACTGTTGTCACCCTGATAGATCTGTCCCTGTAGATCAATTGGTGCTTACTTCAGGCTGCTTGCACAATTTTCTCTTTCACCTTGACTTTGGACAGGTTCTTTACAATGTGTCTTGGAGATGTTCCATTCATGTTGAGATGACCCAGGTTTGATATCCCTCTAAAAGGAGTGTTTATGAATTTGTAGTGAAATTTGGAAAATTTTCATTTATGATATCCTCCAGTAGGGATTTTATTCCTTTGGGATGTCCTTCTCTTTCAGAGATCCCTATGAATTGTATGTTTGAACACTTTATGAAGTCTCCTAATTCCCTGAGTGAATATTCTGCTTTGTCTTCTTTTTTAGCTCTTTAACTACCCAGGTTAGCTCAAAAGCTTTATCCTCAAGTTCTGAGATTCTTTCCTCTCCGTGATCTAATTTGTATCGACAATTCTACTACATCTTTATGTTCCCCAATGACTCCACCAACTCATTGACCTCCTCCATAGCCTTTCTATATTCTTCATATTTTTGATCCATTTTTGATTCTGCTTTTCTGTTTTCTCGTCAATTCCCTTTATTGTTTTTTCCCTCCATATTTTAAATCCCCTTTCTGTCATTTACACTGAATCTTTATAGGTGGAATTCTCTGTGATGTCTACCTCATACCATCTCGGAGGGGTTGCTCTGTTCTGGGTTTTCATGTTGCCAGAATTTTTCAGATGGTTACCCCTTTTGTGTGTTTTCTTCTTGTTCACTTCCTTTCTCTACTTTTTCCTCTCACTGCCTCCTTTGCTTTAAATGACCTTCTCTCTGAGCTTAGGTGTTGAAGTTGCCTACTCACTTACCTTCTGTATTGGTTTTCCTCTGCTCCAGATCTCCTTGCTGGCTCCTGTAGTCTCCTATTCCCTCACTGTGCCCCTGGGGTAATGTTTCTGGGTAGGTTTCCCCCAATCAGAGGTGGCCAAAGACCTTTCCTCCCTGATTCACTGAGAGTACCTGGCAAGTAGATGTCTCTAATCTGCCATCTTGCTCTTCTTCCTTGTTTAAAAAAATTTTTGTAAATTAAAAAATATAAATAAACTAAAATTCCATTTGATTCCCCCTCCAAAAAAAGCATAAATAAATTAGCCAGATGTTGTGTTGTATTCCTCTAGTCCCAGCTACTTGGGAGACTAAAGAAGAAGGATCAATTGAGGCCAGGAGTTCAAGGATACAGTTAGCTGTGATCATACCTTTGTACTCAAGCCTGGGATCTAAAGTAGAAACTCAAATGTCTATCTATTGATGTGTAGATAAGTAAAATGTGGCATATTATACCATAGAATGTTTGTGGCTCAAGGAGTAGGGTGCTGGCCCCATACACTGGGGGTGGTGGGTTCAAGCCCAGCCCTGGCCAAAACTGCAAAAAAAAAAAAAGTTATTTCACAGTAAAAAACAAATGAAGTACTGATACAAGCTACAACATGGATAAATCTTGAAAACATTATGTTGTATTAAAGAAGCCAGTTACAAGACCATGTAATATATGATTCCATTTATATGGAATATCCAAGATCAGCAAATATATAAAGACAGAAATAGATTAGTGCTTACTTAGGCCTGGTGGTGGTGGAATGGGAATGCACTAATGATTATGAAGTTTCTTTTAGTAGACAAAAATGTACTAAAATTAGATCATAGTGATCCTTGCATGGCCCTGTGATATACTAAAAACTATTTTATACTTTATATCAGGGGTCCTCAAACTTTTTAAACAGGGGGCCACTTCACTGTCCCTCAGACCATTGGTGGGCTGGACTGTGGGCCCCGGGACAAGTTGGCTGCTAAGCAGCACAGGCAGTGGTGGCAAAAACACCCGGTGGGCCGGATAAATGTCCTAGGTGGGCTGCATGTGGCCCACGGGTTTTAGTTTGAGGATGCCTGTGTAATATGGATGAATTTTATGGTATATGAATAATACCTCAAAAAAGGTATTTAAGAAACCAAACATCCCAATATTATTACTATTATTTTTGGAGATAGGGTCTCTGTTTGATAGGCTAGAGTGCCTGTCATCATAGCTCACTGCTACCTCAATCTCCTGGGTTCAGTCTACTTGCCTCAGCTTTCCAAGCAGCTGGAGTTAGAGGCACATGCTACCATGCCCAGCTAATTAAAAAATATTTTTTATTAGAGACAGGGTCTCACTATTGCCCAGGCTGGTCTCAAACTCCTAGTCTTAGTTGATCCTCCCTCATTAGTGTACCAGAGTCCCTCTATCCTATTATATGGAAGAGGGAAGTCCTTGAAAAGATGAGAGATGGATCCAGAATACAAAATGGAGAAACTGGTCTTTAGAAGAGTGGGATACTTCCATTGTGATACATTTGTAGATCTGGTAAAGGTGGGGGCAAGCTTTGCACTTAGAAGGAGACTCAATATTTCATTTCATGCTCTTCTGTTACCATTTTAAAATTCTTAACAACTTTTTAACAAAGGCTTCATACTTTGTAGTAAGTCCTGAGTGGTGGCATACTGTTTGATGGCTGCCATTATTAAAAGAAAGTATGAAGCAAGATTGTAATCTGAGAAAATAGTATAGAATGTGAAATAGCTATGAGAAGCTAGAGAAGTGTAGTTGAGTTGCTTTGCTTGTCTGTGGCTACTGCTTTTGTGTTTGTAGTGGTGTTGATATGTCAGACTGTGCAGTGTTTCTCAGAACTCAGCTGTGCTGGAGGTACAGAGGACATGGATATCAAGGTAAATCTGGGGCTAGGGATTTGTCAGGTATTTGTGATAGAAGAGAGAAAGATAAGAAAGTAATTATAGTGATAGACGGTGGTATATAAGCTAGATAAGTAAGGAAGAAGACAGGAGAAGACTAATAGATGAAGATAAAATTGTATGATTGGTAACTTTTAGATTTTCAATGAGGGGAAAATATTTCATGAAAATACATGTGTAAGGATTAGAAGGATATAGAGAGCTATTTGAATTGGTGACTCTAGTTTCTATTGAAGGTAAGGGCTAAGGTTTGATTGGGTAGTGACTGAAAAGGCATGATGGGTAAAGGTTATTGGAAATGTAGAGGTCAAGGAAGTGAGAGCCAATTGGTTGGATGGGTTGCCCACTTATGTGATGAAATTGATGAGAATGACAACAGGACTGCACAAAAAAAGCTGTTTATAAAGGGTAAAATCTTCAGGGAAAGAAAGAAGTCAGTGGAAGCAATATACATATGAAAGCATACAACAAGTTGAATAACTTAGGAGAGGGAGTTATTGAACATTTTTCTCTCTTTTTTTTTTTTTTTGCAATTTTTGGCCGGGGCTGGGTTTGAACCCACGACCTCCAGTATATGGGGCTGGGGCCCTACTCCCTGAGCCACAGGCACCACCCTGAACATTTTTCGATGCAGGGATTAGTTAGTAATAGTCTCCTGCTAAGGGTACTTTTGATTTCCTGCTGGATGTGGTGGCTTAACCTGTAATCCTAGCACTCTGGGAGGCTAAGGTGGGTGGATCACTTGAACTCAGGAGTTTGCGACCAGCCTGAGCAAGAGCAAGAGCAAGACCCTGTCTCTACTAAAAATAGAAAAATGGAGGCAAGAAGATCTCTTGAGCCCAAGAACGTGAGGTTGCTGTGAGCTATAATGCCATTGCATACTGTAGTCACGGCAGGGAAAAAAGAATACTGTTTATTTCTTAAAAGCAGATCGATGCATAGGAAAGATAGTTACATAAATATATACAGTATATTCCCAAAAAATTAATTTTGAATATTGATAAACAGATTTCATTATTATTTTTCTTTTCACAAAACATGATTTGGGCAGGGAAATTTTTTGAGGATACAGGTCAAGTATCCCTTATCTGAAATGCTTGAGACCAGAGTATTTCAGAGTTTGGGTTGTTTTTTCAGTTTGGGGGATATTAGTATGTGTGTGTGTGTGTGTGTGTGTGTGTGTGTGTGTAATGAGATACCTGGGCAATAGGACCCAAGTCTAAATATGAAATTCATTTATGTTTCATATGTACTTTATACACATAGTCTGGAAATAATTTTTATACAAGATTTTTAATAATGTTGTGTCTGAAACAAAGTTTTGATTGTGTTTTGACTATATCGCATCACATTAAATAAGGTGTGGAATTTTCCACTTGTGGCAGCACGTGGTATTGAAAAGGTTTTGGATTTTGGAGCATTATGAATTGTGTATTTTAGATTATGGACAGTCAACTTATATTTCAAGATATTTTGTATTTTGACTTTTTTAACTTAAATATATAGGACTTGTTATTTTTTCTGAAAAATCATTTAAATTAAATCATTTTTTCAAGTGGAAATAATGCTAGGCTATCAAGAAGTATTGAAAATGTTTTTATAGCACTTGAAATGTGTTTCATGATTATGCATTTTTTCAGCCTGAAAAAGCTTCTGAACGTAGAGATACAACATTTCAAACAAAGTTAAACTCTCATCTAAATATCAAGGCTCCATCATCTTACCACAGGTCTGCTCTTGAAAACAATGCAGATAGATCAGTTACTAACATTTTCCTGCCTCAGCCCATGAAACCTGCATTGGTAAGCATGAGTTTTTTATTAACTAATAATTCTTGCAAAGACCATAAAAATGTAATGATTGAGAAGATTTAGGTACTTAATTTATTAACAAATCTAAGTAAAAATCTAGGGATGCTATATACTTATAGCTATATACAGGCTGTTTTTTTTTAAAAATTGAACTGACAGTTGGCAATTGTGTTAGTTGGGACCACTGGAAGCATATATTGAGACAAAATTAACTTGCTTTTGTGTTTCATTATTGGGTCAGTAGTGATGTGGGAGTTACTTTGCTGTTCAAAGTCATCGCTGAGGTCTGATTTTTCATACATGTCTACCTCCTGAGGGTACATATTATCACATGATGTACAGAGTTAGTCACTGCTGCAGATACTGATGTGCTGGGAGCTTGTCAAAAAGTGATGTGAATTTTCAGAAAAATTTTGAAGAGCTATCCAAAGGCAGGTAAATACAACTTTACTGCATTATGTCTTATGCTAGTACTTTTTTCCTATTACTTCTCTACTAGTTATGCTATTGTGCTATAAAAAGAGAATACTGAAATTATAATTATTGTATTAGTTATGGGTTAGATATTTTGCATGTTCCATATTTGGAGTGCTAGGCAATACTTCTACCACTGGGCCTAATAATATCTTTTTTCCCTTTTTTTAGTTGAAATCATTTTACAAGTCTCAAGATGCCTTGCACTCTAAGTTTACATGAAATAACTGACCTGTTAGAGACAATGACAGCATAGAAGCAAGTGCTAAAGTAATATGATCACCTGAAAATGCAGCAGTACCTGTTTCTGATGAGGCTCCAGAAATGACGAAGGTGGAACTAGAAATAATCTACCAGGTTCTTTGTTGCATATTATATTCAAGATGGCTGTGATGCTGAGTCTGAATTCAATGATCCCACATACACACCTGAAGATGATTCTCCTGATGATGTAGTTCTAGCTATCTATGTCTGCTGTGCAGCAACCTCCTCTGTCAAAGAAAAAGAAAGTCACAAAAATTGTTTGCAAATGGTAGAAAGCTGACCTAACTACTCAGCCTGTGGCAGGTAGAGTTACAGGACCACCAAACAATTTCTTTACTTAACCAAGAACTTCTACAGAAATTCTTGAATTTTTTCTTGATGATAAGATCATTGAACTCATTGTCATGTACTCCAACTTATACACTGCAAGTAAGGGTATAAATCTTGGCTTGACTAGCTCAGAATGAAAATTTTTTCTGAGTGGTTACCTCTCAGTTCTTAGAAGATATATATTCTGGGGACAAAGAACAGATGTAGGTAATGTACTTGTTAGTGTGGCCATGAGATGTGATCACTTTGAAACTATATTTTCTAATTTGTATGTTGCTGATGAGGCAAATTTGGACCCAATGGACAAGTTTTCCAAGTTGCAACCTCTTGTAAGGCCACTGAGTAAGAGACATGAGATTTGTTCCAAATGAAACATATTTCAATTTTGTTGAAGTCATGATTCCTTAGTTTGGTCATCATGGGTACAAACAATTTATTAGAGGAAAGACCATTCAGTTTGGCTATAAGTTTTGGTGTGGTAGAGCCATCTGGTTTCAGCTATATTAGGGTAAACTACTAGACATGAAGAATGCAGTGTAGTTTCATCACTTGTCTTTCAGTTTAGTGAGACACTTACAGAGGCACACCTTGCACAATGCCATTTTGAATTGGATAACTTTTTCACCAGTATTGCACTGCTTGATAAGCTTAGTTCAATGGGACATCAGATAACAGATATGGTGAGAAAGGATTGCATTGACAAAGCTCCATTAGAATCAGATGTAGCTGTGAAGAAGAAAGAGCAAAGCACATTCGATTTTCAAATTGATGGCAAAGGCAATATTGTCTACAGATGAAGTAATAATTGTTCTCACTGATGCCTCATATGGTGTTGCTGGTATGGTATTGGTCCCCTGTGTCTTGTCAGTCATTATGTCCAGAAACTGAAAAAAGAGATCCAAGTTCAGCAGCCAAACATGATTAAAGTGTGTAACCATTTCTTGGGAGGCATAGACAGAGCTGATGACAACATTGATTAAGTATCAGGTATTAATCTGTGGAAAGAATTGCTATTTAAGCTCTCTTTTGTTCTGTTTCAAACTGGTCTTACAAAATGTTTGGCAAATGCATAAAACCATGAGAAGCCAGTGGATTTTCTGGAGTTTCATTGACATATGGAATGCCATTATCTGAAGACCCATGGTCATTCTCCAGCATCCTCCTTTTGACCCATGGCCAAAGAGGAATACTTTCTCAGAAGCGTAACATTGACTCATATTATGATGGCATGAATCATATGATAGTCAAGCAGGGAAAGCAAATGCAGTGTGCTGAATGTCATAAGAACACCATTTTTGATGTGAAAAATGTGATATTGCCTTACATCTGAAGTATTCTGTGGAATATCACACTGAATAGCAGTGTCACCACCTTCTTTAACATGATTTTGTATATTATATACAATATAGCAGTGATTTTGCCTCCTGTTTTGGAACACCACATAACTCAATAATGGAATATAATAATTTTTTTTCTCTTAAATGCAGGGAGAATGGGGACCAAAGACCCAATTCTTGGCAAGGGAAAACACCCCCAGAAAAGGGGGAAAATAGACAAATAAGCCAAGCAAGGCGGCATAAAAACAGTTTAGCTAGCTTACTTTTAAATTACTTGTCTGGGCAGTTTATGGTTTTACTGGAAGTCTGACCTATAATGGTTACAGCTTACAAATACCCCTGCTGGGTCCGTAAGCACTCTGAAGAACAATGACCATAGCAGAAGCTGTGTGCAAGGCCTGGAAAGGAACACAGGCTGACCTCTACCCAGTTAACAGTTAACAACCTTCCAAAAGCAAATACCCATTGTGGGGATTTGTATAATGGCCAGGGAAGAGATCAAGGGACAGCCCAAGCCCTGAAATATGAACAGGAGGGCTTGTACTCTAACCATGGAAGAAAATGCCTCCAGGTGGAGATAAGGAGAAAATTCCTCTTTTCCACCAATTCTTCAGAGGAGACCTGACACCACTGCATCATCTGCTCCACAGAGAAACTAGAGAGTCTAACCTCTCCCAAGAGATTTGTGTGCATGACCACAGACAAGAGGCTGCCTCCACACAAGGCTCAGGTTCTGGATTTCTCAAGGCTGCCCAGATCCTTGAAGCTAATGATTATAGAATAAGAACTAACATGCTTACTCGTAGAAACTGCTAATATTTTTGTTCCCTTTCTCAGCTTATCCTCTTAGCTAAATAAGAAAATTGCCTTAAATAAAATCTCGGTGGAACAAGCATTCAGGGCAACTTGCTGAAGCCCCACAAGCTAGTGGTGGACTCCTGTGCCCACTTTTAAAAACCCTATTCTATGTGTCCTGTCTTTTTATCTCTCTCTGCTTTTAATTTCATTTTCCCCAGTTGATCACCACCTTTTCCACAGGTCTTAAAGTATCCTGCCCCTGAGGCAGGACCCCAGTGCTTAAAATTCTTGTTTATTAAATTTTTCTAAGTAACATATATGAATTTTAGGGAAAAATTCAAAAAATTATCACATCTAGTATAGATGGGTTAAGAGTTCAGGTGGCTTATTGGAGCAGGTAATACCTGAGAAAGGAAGGCAAGGAAGAAGCAGGATAGTTCAGAGATAGCCTCAGTTTTCAATGCACATCTGACAAGCTTTCTCAAGGAGGAGTTCTGGCAAAGATTGTCCATTACAAAAGTCTTATGTTGGGCTATTATGCTCAGACATTGGCTGGGGCTGTCTGAGAAGATGGTGGTCTTCCTCAGCTAGAAAGTATAAGCAGATTCTAAAGATGTTGCAGCTAGAGGCCACTGGCTAACTGTGCTCCTTTCATTGGAATAGTAGGTTCTTTGCTCAAAGGGATTTGAGCAGAACACTTCAAGACTGCTACATTAATAATAAGAATAGCTATTTGTTAGTATCTCCTACTTTCTAGACACCATAAGTTCTCTTTCCACATATTATTTGTAACCTTTGTATAATCTCTAGAGTTAGAATAATTCTCTTTGTTAGAGAACTGACATATTCACTATATCAGATAAATATACCTATAAAAATTTTTGATAAAACTCCTCTAATAAACTATTCCAGATTATGTCTTATACCAACAAAACTAGTTGTAAGAAATTTTAAGACAGAAGAAAAGAATGAAAGGAAAGAAATAGAAAAAAGGAAACATAACACAAACTTTCCTCTGAAGTTTAAGTTTTATCTCAGAGTTTGTGTTCTAAACTTGATGTCATATAATATCTATTCATAAAGATTTATCAGAAGGACATGGTTGTCTCATGGATCTAAAGGTTGGAAAGGCAGTTGAAAGCTGCCTGTCTCTAGCTCTTTGACTGTCTTTCACTTTTTCCTTCTGTTCTTTCTACCTGTTTCTTTGTTTTTTGCTGTTTTAGATATTCTCTCTCTCTCAATTTCAAGCTCTCTATCTCTTTTCCCTGTCTTGATCTCTCTCTTTCTCTCTCTCTGTCCTCTGTCTCTCTCTCAGTGTTTCTAATCATTGCCTCCTTTGGTCTGTTTCTCTTCTTTTCTTCTCTTTGATCAATCACCTTTTTTTCTCTTTTTCTGTGTTTTGCCTTTCCATTTTCTCTCTCTCCCCCTTACTCTTCTTTCCCCTCCTCCTTTCATTCCCCTCCTCTCCTCCATCTCTCATTGTTGGCCTGTCCTTCCCTCTGTTTCTTTCATTCTCTTTAGCTCTTGTCTTTTTCTCATCTCACTCTTTCTTGCTGTATCTACTTGTCTTTCTCTGCCTCTTTAAAAATGGAAAGTGAATCTGGATCCTACTTTTAATTTCATTAACTTTGATTTTTCATAAATGAAAGTATTTTTATACATTTTTTCTGAGTCAGTGCCTTGCTCTGTTGCCCACACTAGAGTGCAATTATGTCCTCATAGCACTTTGCAACCTCAAATTTATGGGCTCAGGTGATTCTTCTGTCTCAGCCTCCCAAGTAGCTGGGAATCCAGGTGCCTGCCATCATACCTGGCTAAGTATTTTTTGTTTTGTTTGAGACAAGGTCTTGTCTGTTTCCTGGGCAAGACAAGAGTGCAGTGGTACCATCATAGTTCATTTCAACCTCATACTCCAGGGCTCAAGTGACCCTCCTGCCTCCAGGTCCCGAGTAGATGGGACTACAGATGCACACCTGGCCAATTTTTTTACTTTTGTAGAGTTGGGGTCTTGCTCCTCCTTGGGCTGATCTCGAAATCCTGTCTTTAAGTTCTACTCCCACCTCAGCATACCAAAGTGCTAGTATTGTAGGCATGAGCTACTGTACCCAGCCTATACATTTAAACTTTTATATATTTTAAACCGGTTATCCTTGCTATATATATGTGTGTATGTATATGTTTTAACAGCTTCAGAAATAACTTATAATCTCTCTCCATTAAAAGTACAACAATTTAATAGGAATTAAATGCTCCAAATACCTTTCTCAGCAGTTTACAAAGATAACCAAAGCACAATTTCCTAATTTAGCTCTCTAATTACTTTCATTATAATTACTAGTAACTGCAACTGAAGTATTCTTTATGGTCATTATGCCTTACAGAATTCTCTTGGATGCTGTTTGACCTAGCTAGGGTCAGAAAATTCTTTAATTTCCTGTGAACTGGCTTAAAATTTAATTAGCAGAGTAAAGAATTTGTTGATATTTTATTACATATTATGATCTAGTTTACTAACTTTAAATTGTAGTTTTACTGTATTAGTTTATTCCTTTCTGCTATTCAATACCTATTTCCTAATACGTTTATAGAAAACACATTCTGGTATTCCTGGTAAGAAAAACAGAGGCCTGTTAACAAGTACACCATTTTCAGAGACAGCTGATTTTGTGGTAAGTATTAGCATTTAGTACTTGTACTATCTGTCTTCTGGCTTCCTCTCCTCATTCTTCTATTTTTGTCAGATTAGGAGAACATTTCCTATACAGAATGGTATCTATACTTTTCTCTTGCATAAGCACACTTTTGTTGAAAGTATTCTATATACTACTGTACACAGAAGGGAGGAGGAAAGATTAGAATACTGTAGCACCAATCATGGTCTTTTTTCCCCTTCATGTATTCATGGTGAAATATATAACAAAGTTTAGCATTTTAACAGTTTTTAAATGCACAGTTCAAGTACATTCACATTGTTGTGCAACCTTCAATAGAATCCATTTTCAGAACTTTATTCACCTTGCAAAACTGGAACTCCAAGCACATGAAACTATAACTTCCTATTCCTCTCTTCCCTAGCACCACCTGGCAACCACCATCTTACTTTTTTTTTTTTTTTTTTGAGACAGTCCACTCACTTGTGGCCCTTGGTAGAGTGCCATGGTGTCATAGTTCACAGCACTCTCAAACTCTTGGGCTCAACCTTGCCTCAGCCTCCCAAGTAGCTGGGAATACAGGCGCCCACCACAATACCCAGCTATTTTTAGAGATGGGGTCTTGCTCTTGCTCAGGCTAATCTCGAACCTGTGAGCTCAGGCAATCCACTCACCTTAGCCTCCCTGAGTTCTAGGATTCCAGGCATGAGCCACCACACCCACCACCATTCTACTTTCTGTCTCTGTGGATTTGATTACTCTAGGTAGGTGTCTCATGTAAGTGGAAGCACACAGTAGTCCTCCTTTTGTTACTAATTTATGTCACATAGCATGGTGTCTTCAGTGAGTTAATTTGTGATACAGCATGTGTCAGAATTTTCCTTCTTTTTAAGGCTGAATTATGTATATACCACATTTTGTTTATCCATTCATCTGTCAGTGGATATTTGGATTGCTTGTACCTTTAGCCACTATGAAAATGGTGCTGAGAACATGGGTGTACAAATACTCTTTGAGTCCCTGCTTTTAATTCTTTGGGGTATATATCTGGAAGTGGAATTGCTGGGTCATATGGTAATTCTATTTTTAACTTTTTAAGGAATCACCACGTTTTTCTTTAGAAACTGTACCATTTTCAAATCCTACTAGCAAAATGTAGAAAGGTTCCTGTTTCTCTATATCCTCACTGCTTGCCCTACTCTGCCCTGCCCTTGCCCTTGCCCTTCTTTTCTTTCTTTTTTTGAGACAGGGTTTCATTCTGTCACTCAGGTTGGAGTGCAGTGGTATGATCATAGCTCACTGCAGCCTTGAACCCTTGGGCTCAAACAATCCTCCTGCCTCAGCCTCCTTTGTAACAGGGATTATAGATGTTAGACAATATGCCTGGCTATGGTGTGTTTTGATGTACAAATGGTTTTTCATTTTGATTATTTTTTATTTTGTTGCTTATATTTTGGTGTCATATCCAAGAAATTATTGCCAAATCTAACATCAAAACAGTCATTCTTCTGTGTTTTTCTTCTAAGAGTTTTATAATTTTAGCTCTAACCCAATCAGCATTTTTCTTGGGTTCAACTACATAACAGGAAAACAGTTTGTGAGCACGGCAGCATTAGGCAGTGAATCCTCATAAAAGCTGATGGAACAGCTTACATAGCAGTTTGGGGACAGCTCAAGTGCAAGGAGACGAGACCTACTTCCTTTTCTAACAACTTCCTTTTCATGTACATAACTTTCATAATCTCTGCAAAGGACATGCCTAATCACAAGAGTCTTTGAACTAAGGGAAACCCACAGTATGGTGTCTTTTACAGTATAGTACTTATTTATTTATAGTGCATTTATAGTTCCTCCCAGACATAAGACATTATTTTTACTCTAAGCAATGTTGCCTAGACAGTTGACATTCTTACCCTGATCTGGTTCCTAGAGTAATAGAGTTACAGAGTTAACCAAAGATTAAATGGAGGAAAAGGGTTTTTTTTTTTTTAAAACATGGGGTTTAACAAAAAGTTTTTTAAAACAATCCTTCCAGTGTTCTAAAAATCAACACTTTATCTACAAAATTAATGTTGCCTTTTTGATTCATTCTTGGTTGCTGTTTGGAATTAAAGTGTATGGATTGGAAATAAGTGTACCAAAATTATTTTTCCCCTGAAAACCTAACTCAGTAATGATTTTGCAAATAAAACCTTTTAAAAATTGAGCTGTAATGCACATTTAATAAAATTCACTGTGCTAAAGTGTGTAATACACACTTTACCATGCTTGAATGTATAATATACATGGAATCCAAACTTCATAGAACAAACAAATTAATCTTTGGTTAACTCTATAGCTTTTAATAAGGGATTTTGTTCTGTGAAGTTTGAATTCAATCAGAAGACCACACTCAAGGTCAAAGGTCCCATGGCTGTAGCTTCCCTACCCCTAGTTTTTCATTCAGGGGTTTTAGTGTACTTATACTATTGTGCAGCTATTATTGCAGTCAATTCAAGTCTAATTCAAGAGTATTTTCAGCACTCCTTTAATAGTCACTCCCTATTCCCTCTTTTTACACTTTAGTCCCTAGAAAGTATTAATTTACTCTCTATTTCTCTAGATTTACCATTTTGGATATTTCATATAAATGAAATCATATAATATGGCCTTTTGTATCTTGTTTTTTTCACTTAGTGTAATGTTTCTTTTTTTTTTTTTTTGAACCT